TAACCCTAAATCTAACCCTAAACCTAAACCTAACCCTTACCTTTATGTGAATCGGCTTGCTTTAATTTTATTTCAATTTTTAATTTTTTTCATCGCGCTGCGATGACGTCACATGCGCACTTTCGCCGAGCGCGATTTTGTCCTCCGCGCTTTTGATGGGTCACGTTGGATTCACACCATTTTCAGATGTGTTTTGAATGTAATGGGTTCCAGTGAATCTATAAAGTTCCCTTGAAAAAGGGTGTGATCCCTCATAATGCTGAGGCCCACAATTGGCCTACTTGTAGGATCTGGTTGCTCATTCCAGCAGCAGAATGCCTAAGCTAAGATTTTAGTGTGATTCAGCATCATTCCTAAAAAGTGGGATTGTAGTCTGAGGTACATGATGGTGTATGGTTCCCTCCTTGAAGAACCCGGAGCTGTATGAAGTATCTATGCATTAAAGTTAAGAATCAACGGTTACGTTCTTGAGATTCTGGAGTTTTGCATCCTTAACATAATACTATCTCCCTTGCCTATAAGTGCCAAGGGACCCAGGCTACTCCACGTTATCTTCCAGCCTCCCGCCCACCCCTTAATATGATAAGAATACATAAAGACAACAATGCATGTTTGGATGCAGGCCAGCTTTTTCCAATTTTAGAACCACTATAACACTTAAGACACACAAATGATAATGTGGACTGAGATCGGAGGAGGCCAAATGCCACCACGGCTGCTTCTTGCTCGGCCAACTATTGTTAAATAAAGGTTATTTTCAACTTCACTGGCAAGATGCATCCTAGTTGCTTGTGAATCCATCTTCCCCCCAAAAGAGCACAGGGGTAGAAGCAGTGCTGGGTCTTTGGCCCCTCAAGAGCTGAGAAGGCAACTCCAGGAGAACTGCGACAAGGGGGCTGAAAATAATCTACCAGCCACTGGTTATCATCTCAGATTTGTCATAAAATATACACCGAGGAGGGAAAAGCAGGCTCTGTATTGAAGGTGCAGATGAGAAACTCTCCCCTCCGCTCACTCACACGTAGTAATGAAGAAAACTAGGATAGGGGAACATTTCTGAAGATGGGGAGGAAAGAATCAACCCAGCAGAAATAGTGAGGACACTCTTTGCCCATATAATCTGCTTCCAATAATAGTTAATGTCCTCAGCATTAAACATTAGATGGCATAGGTTGACCCTGCTCCATTCCTTTTCTTGCCACTCAGTTTGGACAGACAGGCTCTGGGAATTATCAGCCCCCTGCTTTGGAGGAAGGGTACCAAAACCGTGCAGGTGTCAGCTGGGAGTTGTATCCACAAGTCACTTGAGTTCCTCATACAGTACTTTACCCTAATCCTTGAATCTCAACACCTGATTTAAATCCAGAGTTCCTTTTGGCAGCAGGCAGGCCTCAAGGCCTCATGTTGGTGGCAGAAGCACTATTTGGACGTGGCTTCATTGATATCTGTATGCAAGAGAATCACACGGAGGGAGAGAGGAGGAGGAGGAGGAAGAACGCTCAGCGTACTGTGGATCCTTCCATCAGCAGAGTAGCAGTGCTCCCACCAACAGTGATAGCCGGGAAGGGGGACAGGCACTTGAAGGCTCATTCCTTCTTGGTCTTATTCTGGAATTTCTGATGAACAACTCGCAATGTGGTGAAGAAGTTGCCAGTAAAGAGAGTGAGGAAGGGGAGGGCACACATCAGGACCTGCCAATGAAATTTACATGGTCAGTGCTTACTGCTTTAAGAGGAAGAGAGGGAGAGAGAGAGAGAGAGAGAGAGGGAGGGAGGGAGGGAGCAGTTTTCAAAAGGACTGGATTGCTGAAGAGATAAATTTAACAAAACTGTCAGGAATTCTAGAGTAGAACAGGGAGAGCAGTGCAAAGCGTAAGAAAGAGATGTTGTCCCATGGATGTTAGTTCAGAGTGTTAAAGCATCTATGTCTTTCGTGAGGCTTGTATAGTTATTTACAAGGCTGTCTTTATGTGTGGATGTACAGCCACTTAGATGGTGTTTTTTTAAAGAAAGAGTTATTTTTACCCACAAAATTGACTGGGAACAGCCTTGGAAGCAAGTGAATAAGTCTCACAAAAGGAGATAGCTGCTTTAATGCTTCAAGATGGGAATTTTGCCCCTACAAATATTCTTTGTGAAATATCTTTTTTGGAATGCTTTGCACAAGCCCAAATCTGGCTTTTTACAAGTTTCCACTTTCAAATCCCCTCACTTGTTAATCGCGGGTCACAAATGAAAGCCAACTGACTGACCATGCTTTGGAAAGAATGGTGAATCCGAATGCAAATACCGTAGTCCTTGTTTTGTGATGTCTAAATCTGCTGGGGATGTAGCAATAACTGGAGGGTCCCAAGTTCTCCATCCCAACACATAGCATCACCTGAAGGCAGTAGCCCAATGGCATTTGCTTACACATTGTTTCTGTACCTTCCTTTACTTATTCACATCCCAGAGAGGCAGAACAATGGATTCACAGGCACTTTTTTTTTTTAGCAGAACACGTTGAATGGACAATACTGGAGCCTCTTTTCAAGGCACCTTGTTGGCATAGTTTCAGGTTACACGACATTTCCAGTTCTTGAAATCCATTATGTGTTCCTTATTTGCTTTGTTAATCTTCTGAAAGCTCCTCCTCCTGCCTTTCAGTCTTGATGTTAAATTAAGATCAGTTCATACATGTTGATGAAGATTCTCCATCATCCATTCCAGAGTTGTCTGGAAGATGAGTCATGGCAACTGGAGTTCTTTTCTTTTTGGTTTGAAATGTTTTGCTGCTGATCCAAGAACCATATTTTTCAGCGTATAAGACACACCTTACCCCACACCCCAAAAAGAGTGTGGAAATATTGGTGTGTCTTATACACTGAATACAGCCATTTTTTGCCTCCTGAAGCACCACCCCCGCATCCTATTTTTGCAAAAAACGGAGGCTTTTTTGCCTTACCCAAGCCCCGCTGAAGCCTGCAGAGTGCTGCTGGGGGCTGAGGGAAGGCAAAAACTTTCTTACCTCTTCGAAATCTTGTTGCATCTTATACACTGGTGCATCTTTTAGTCCAAGAAATACGGTAGCTTCTTCAGTCTGAGCAAAACTGAAGCAGGTTCAGACTGAAGAAGCTACTTGGTTAAGCTGCGAAATATTTCAAAATAAAAAGGAAAGAAGTCCAGTTGCCATGACTCAACTTCCAGATTAGGTCACACATGTTGGCAGAGCCAACATTTTATCCCCACAGAGCAGCCCAGCTGACCTTATTTAGCAATGGCTAAGTAAGAATCAGCTGTACAATCAAACTCTTGGAACACACATTTTTACTCTAATGATGTTGGCAGAGACAGGGATTTCCCAGCCATGCTGCCTTTTGCACAATATTTTAATTTATTCAAGTGATTTAATCTGGAAGAATTCGATGATTGGAAAAGCTCATGCTCTTATCATTGAACCATTCCCAAAATCTACATTACTCTGAATCTTAAAATAACGTGAACTTATGCAATCCCTTCTCCCCATTATATTAAACCAATTAGTGTATAATACTAAAATCTGAAAATGCTATAATGAAAAATTAATTTGATCACTTTGTATTTCATCTTGAGGAAACCCACTTTCATTTGTTCAAGTCAAACATATAAGAAAAAGGGGGGGGGTGTTTGCCTGAAATCAACATCTTTTAAAATGCTATAAGCAGGCAAAATACAGGTAGTCCTCAACTTATGATCACAACTGAGCTTAAATTTTATGTTGTTAAGTGAGAAATTTGTTAAGGGAGTTCTGCCCTATTTTCTTGCCACATTTGTTAACCTTGCCATGACTTTACTTGGCACATTTGTTAAGTGAATCACTGCAGCTGTAAAATTAGTAACTTGGTTGTTAAGTGAATCTGGCTTCCTCATTGACTTTGCTTGTCAGAAGGTTGCAAAAGGCGATCACATGACTCCAGGACACTGAAACCGTCATAAATGAGAGTCAGTTGTCAAGCATCCAAATGTAAAACACATGACCATGGGGATGATACAACAGTCGTAAGTGTGAAAAATGGTCATAAGTCACTTTTTCAGTGATGTTGTAACTTGGAACAGTCACTAAATGTTGTAAGTCGAGAACTACCTGTACCAGAAGCTGTAAGTTGTATTGGTATGCACTCCTAGTCAGCCATGCTGAGATAACAGTCAATCTCTCTCCATTATCTGATAACCTTCCATCCACTGCAAGTAATCCCTTTAAAGGCTGTTATCCACACTATGAGAAAAGCTGATCTAATGGGCATTGGGAGGATTACTGAGATAACTACATGCATTTTACCATGAGTATCATGCTAGCTGCACTTTGAAGGTGTTTGGATATTTTTAAAAGCATTGACAAAGCTTGTAATCTCCTCAGCCGGGAAGTGAGTTTGAAAGGGTGGGAAAGGAACAGAGAATTTCTGCTTCCCGTGCCTACGGATTCACTCTTACCTGCCATTCTTTGCATTCTGGATGCCTGGCCAATTGGAAGAGTGTGATGGCATTGAACAGTTGCCAGAACTAGAAAGAGAACATAATTGTTTTATTTGCAACATGTCCGACTCCCACCCTCAAAGGTATCACTGTGAGGTCAGACCACTGGTTTTTGGCAGCAGAAGTTTTAGGATTTTTAACCAAACTATCTGAGAATTCTTTGCTCCGATAAACATGCCTGTCCCTCCTCCCACCACCCGCTGGGATTTCAACATAAAAGCACGGGCTTTTTTGGCAGTTTAATTATCACAGTAAGGGGACAAGAGTTTCTTTGGGGTACAAAATGCATCTCAAATCCAGATTATTCACATGAGTTAATCAGTAGGTGCATCCCATCTAGGAGAAAGGAGACACATGGAACACACTAATTGATACATTAAATTATTAGGTGTAAATGACGAAAAGCATTCCAGGACTGTGTGTCTCAATTACTGTTCCCACTTCAATTGTTTCTGGACCTCTCCCCAGAGCCCTCTTTGGTGGACTCTGTGAGGAAATTTGGCAGTTTTCTCCCTAAAAATTGGCTTTTGAGATCGGGGGGAAACACAATATCTCTTTAAGGAGTGCAATAGGTTTAAAACAAAACAAAACAAAAAAAACCAAAACAGAACGAACCGGACAAATCAGATGAATTTTCTCAATCTTCACAAATTATGCCAGAATCCCCTGTACCTGCCAGTTTCTATGGTGATTTGGCATCACTGCCCTGCCCACGCTGGTCATAAGAATATTATGGTACCTTGTAACAAATTCTCATTTTCTAAATAGGTTTGGAGGAAAAGGGGTCTTGTTCCTTTAAGCATCTCACAGTTGTCTTCATAACATGATGAACATTTATAACATTATTATTATTAGGAAGTAAAAGCTCAATTTTCCAATTCATTTTATAAATTTATAACATGAAATAAATAAAACATATTGTTATTACTACTACAAAGCAGAGTTTCATTGTCTCTCATCTAGTAGTTGTTTATAAACAGAGTATGTATTTCTCCTGAAAAAAGAGCTAATAAGAGACAAGATAAAATATATGTAAGAACTCTTACATTACTCTAGTCTAGTGGTTAGTCTAAAATCTGGGAGACAGGGAATTCTAGTCCTGCCTTATGCATGAAAGCAGGCTGAGTGACTTATGGCCAGTGACTCACTCTCAGCCCAACCCATCTTACAGAATTGTTGTTGTGAGGAAAATAGGAGGCAGAAGGAATATTAAGCATGCTTGCCACATTGAGTTATTTCTAAAAAAAATAAATAAAAGATGGGATAAAAGGTAAAGGTTCCCCTTGCACATATGTGCTAGTTGTTCCCGACTTTAGGGGGCGGTGCTCATTTCCGTTTCAAAGCCGAAGAGCCAGCGCTGCCCAAAGACGTCTCCGTGGTCATTTGGCTGGCAGGAATAAACGCTGAAGGCGCACAGAACGCTGTTACCTTTCCACCAATCCTAACCTCACTTGCATTTTTACATGCTTTTGAACTGCTAGGTTAGCAGAAGCTGGGACAAGTAACAAGAGCTCACTCCATTATGCGGTGCTAGGGATCTGAACTGCTGAACTTTCTGATCGACATGCTCAGCATCTTAGCCACTGAGCCACCACGTTCCTTTAAAAGATGAGATATAAATTGCTAATTAAATAATCCCTACAAAAAACTCAGAAGATATTCTGCCCCTTCAGATTCAATAAACCTGGTTTTGCCTTGCCTAGACCAGTGTTTTTCAACCTTTTTTGTGCAAAGGCACACTTTTTTCATGAAAAAAATCACGAGGCACACCACCATTAGAAAATGTTAAAAAAATTTAACTCTGTGCCTATATTGACTATATATAAAGTAATTCTCCCACGGCATATCTTACACTATGTCACGGCACACTAGTATGTCACGGCACAGTGGTTGAAAAACACTGGCCTAGACTAAAGATAATCCCTGAAGAAGTGATGACACACTTACTTGGCCAAAGAAGAGGAATGGAAGCAGGAAAGTGAGGCCTCTCCACATCCAAGACTGGAAACCTTCTGCAAGGAAAAACACACAGCCAAAGAATCAGGCCAGGGTTCAGCAGTCCCAACGGGCTCTTCAGACTGACTGGAGATGGCAATCTTTGGGAGATTTGACAACTAACATGGACCACTCTCACTTCTGCTAGGCTAGCATTACCAGAAAAGGAAATAGAGAAGCTTAGAGACAGGCCAAACATTCTTAAAATCTGCCTCCCTAAGAATAAAAGGCTCATCTCTTTGAGAAGGGCAGGATGAGCTGGTTTGAAAAGCAGAATTATCTCCTGGTCAGATTCAGGATGTTTTTTTTTTTTTTTTGTAAAATATGTTTACATGGCTATTTGCAATTCTCTGCTTTTTAACAGCTATATCTAGAAGAGGACTGTAAAAATGTTATTATTTCTAAAGCCAGAAAGATCATACGAAACATGATAAAAAAAGTCCTTTCATATTAATCTCTCCTGATGACTTCAGGGAGATTTCTATGTAATTTTCTTGGTTATGACCTAAAATAGTCATTCCCTTATTCTGGGGTGTTTTTTTGTTTTTCCTTGCTAATAAAGTTTACAACCCTGGGATTCCCTTGAGATCTCCCATACAAATATGAACTATGCCTGATCTAAATTGTTGGAACAAGTCAAAGATCTAATTCCTGTACCCAAAGCTAGGGGGAAGCTGCAGTTTGGAGGAATTATGGACAAGCATCTTTGCAAGATGAGAATTGACGAAGCAAGCCTAGGGACAACTTTTGCTGTCCACCAGGCTGTTGCGGCCCAGCAGGAGCCGTTGCAGCTGCCACCAGACTCCGACAGCGAGGGGCCCTATGAGTCGGCTCTGGAAGATGTGGAGGACCCTGGACAGGGTTCCGACTCCGAGCAGGGGACAGAGAGGCTGGTTGGCACCAGGAGGCGCCTGAGGCCTGGAGCAGCGGTGAGAGCCAAAGGGAGTATGCTCCCGAAGACAAGCCTTGGAGCAGTGGGGAGGAGCTAAGGGAGTTGGTCCCTGACGGTCAGGCCCGGGAGCAGTGGGGAGGAGCTAAGGGAGTTGGTCCCGGACACCAGGCAAAGGCG